AGTCTGAATCTGGCGTGTTTATTTTTCTAAATAAGCCTAAAAATTGTTTAAATTCGGCTCGCGAGTTGAATCTGAGCTGAGCTTAAATAATTCAACTATTTTACATATAAACAACTTGAGTTTTGCTAGTTTGAGTAGAGTTTTTTAGACTTGTTTTTTTAAACAAGTTTAAAAAAAATTTCAAACTAAGCTGATTTAAAGTACAAGCCGAGTTCGAGTCTAGTTTTATATGAACTGAGTTCAAGTATTTTGTCTCAAAATCTCTAGTAATGAGTAGAGATGGGAAAGAGAGCACAACAGTTCATGGTTTTTGAGTAACAAAGATAATTTCCCTTTGAACCTTGTCGTATGATATAACCTATTGCAATGGTATTAAAAGGTCTTTATGGATGAATGTGTGGTAAAAAATTATTCGATTTTTATGATTTGAATTATAAGTTCAAGTTACGGAAATAATTCTTTTTTGTAATTCCTATAATTGCATTCACTGAGAAGAAGTTCAAAAGTCTTTTAGGGTTCAATCTTGTNAAGTTCAAGTTACGGAAATAATTCTTTTTTGTAATTCCTATAATTGCATTCACTGAGAAGAAGTTCAAAAGTCTTTTAGGGTTCAATCTTGTCATTATATTTTTCAATCCTACGCATGATATACTTGGTATCATTTTTTTTTTTTTTGCAGACAAGAATTTGATTTTTGAAAATCAACCTCTCCTAGTGGAGAGCAAGTCTGTTTTGATAATTTTATTCCAAAGCAAACATCGTAGTAAACTTAGGGCTGCAAATGAACCAAGCCAAGTCGAGTCTAGCATTAAACTATTTGCACTCAACTTAAAGTTGTATAGGTTCTATGTAAACTCTATTTGCTAATTTTTTCCAAGTTGGTACTCAGATTTATTGCTTATTTTAAACGAACTGATATGTTGGACTTTTAATCAAACTGATATGTTCGATTTTTAACCAAACTGACATGTTTGACTGATTTGCCCTCTAAACTTTAAACCGTTGGATAAAATGTCGTAGTTCCACAATCGTACAGTCCATAAACATTTTACCGTGATATTTTCGCTCTCTCTCTCTCTCTATATATATTTATGTAGTGAGTAAAAACAAAGCTGCAAAAGCCTCTGATTCTTTTCCCACAGCAGCTGCTCTAACGGCCTGACTGTTCTGTTGAATCGGGTACAGCTCTTTCCTTTTCGTCTAGGGCATTTATTTTCTCTGCAAATTCCTATTTTTTCCTGCTCATACTATTGATTGGTTCTTCGCTTTTAAATTTTGTGTGGGTTCATGCTAAAGCCAGTTCATGCGTTTCATTCCTTTATTTTTTCTTGATAATCCATGCATGGATGATTAAATTTAGGTTTAATCTATTTTATATATGGAATTAGGTCGCGTTTCAGTTAGTAAGTTTTTTTTTTTTGGTTCTAAGTTTGAATGGTTTTGTTTATTTTTCTGCTTTTTTGACTGTGTTTATGCTTAGTGACTATTATTAATCAGTATTCAAGTTTGCTTGGAAGTAGATTAGCCTATTAAATTAATGCAAAGATATCTGATGTTTGCAGTAATTATATACTAAATTGTGCAATCTTTATTTCGTCTACTTCATTCAAGAATGATGGGTAAATAGAAAACAATTTGTCTCTGATTTTGCGTCATGTTCTTTCTGTAAATATAACAAGTAGTTTCAAGCTTCTTGGACATCGGAAGCCAAGTCGTGGCTAGGTGTTTGGTGCCAGTTACTTGTATAAGACAGCCCATAGATGTAAAGTTGAAAAGCTCATAACTGCCTGTCAACGCTTTATCTCCGGGCAATTTTGTTGGCAGACTTAGATGGACGTTCCCTTACTACAAGCACCAAGTGAAACTGAAGCTGATGGATTACCATTGGTAATGGCACAACAGCAAAATCAAAATGAGTGTGAGCACATTGTTGACATATCAAGGAGCAATGATGCTTCATCAAGCTTGTCTCCTAGTGATCCTCTTCCTGAAGTCAATCCACCAGGGCATGAGGACAGACCATCAAGTAGCTTACCGGCCATCACTTGTCAAACTCCTCCTTCATCGTCAAATACGGTCAACTCCAGGAACTCTATGTTTATGAGGAGAAGTGAAGGTTATGCTCATCGCCACAGGAATCCATTGAATTCTGGCATCTATTGTTGTTTTGTCCTTGTCAAGGCATGAGAATCCACAAGCCCCTCTATTTGCATGGGTTGTGGGTTATTCATCCGGATGTGTTGCGACGCTTCCTATTCTTTACTGCCGTTATTATCACGGCAACCAGGGTCCTGAACAAGATACAACTCAGTTACGTCAAGAATCATCTCAAAGCAACCCTTCAGCTGAACCTGCTTCATACATGGCTATACCAGTTACACAAGCTTCCGTAGAGGAAAACCACCAAATTGCAAATCCAGTATCTAGAAACATTCAGATCACCCGAAGCTTGAGTTTACGGTAAGTTCCCTGAATTATAATCCATTCTTTAGTTCGTGGATGTTTGCTATGCGTACTGGATCTTGCACAATATAAACACGAGAACAGATCTCTCCCTTGGTGAACCCGAGTGAGTCAGTCGAGTGGTCAACTCCGCTGCTTGGAACAGCTTGTGAGGTCCGGTGGTAACCTGGAACGGTAATGAGAGACCCTCGTGGATCAATGGAACGATCCAGTAAGGCTGAAGAAGGTTCCTGGAACAAAGAAAAACAAGTTAGAAGGGTGCCGGAGTGTTTTCCGGCGTATCTCCTCCGACGATCAAGTCAGTTTTTGAGAGAGAGGAAAAAGAAAACACTGAGTATGGTTTGTAGCAATGGTTTTTCGTTGCATACCGTCTTGCCTTTTGCGAGGAGTATTTATACCTCAAAAACTCATGATTGCTGTCAGTGTAGTCAGTAGGTGATCATTAGGTACAGGTAATGTGCACACTGATTCCGATGAAGAATGTCTTCTCTTTTAACTGCTCGGGATCCCGAGCAACCAAGGCTGTGTCATCAGCCTGCCGACTATTCAATGAGCTCTTCTCGGCGCAGTTGCAATAAATGTTTGATCTTAGAGACATTTATTACCTTTCACTTTCGAGCCTTACCGCATTAAATGTTTGTTTTCTCAAATCGTGTGTCAGCAAGGGCATCCGGTCTTTTTGTCTCTGATGTAACATAATATGTCACGCGTCCATTCCCCATTAGCTGTGTCCCCAGCCCTCTTGTGCCTTCTGACACTAATTGTGTAAAACGAGGTCATGATAGCTAACCTAGCCTAGCCTGGGCTAGTGACCTGTACATCAATAGCCTCTGTAGAAGCAGAGAAAGCCACCATGGACAGAGGTACATCTCGGACCCGAAGGGGGAGGTTCATCTCGGAGTCGAGAGGAGGTACATATAGCGACCGATGTACCCATATCAGACCAAGGTAAACGTTCTGGATAACCCTTAATCCCTATGACAAGTACCTCGGGGGAGAGAGACTTGTGAACCGATAGGTACATGATCTCAGTAACAGGATTTAGTGACACCAAGGACACGTATCTTCATCTTGGAGTATTTCGGAAATATCCCATCATTTGCTTATCTTCTTGTTCATTTGTTAACTTTTTAATGCTATCTAATGTGAAATGGTGAATACGTCTATTAGTTAGAGCTGTTTATGTTTGTAGCTATGTTATATGAAGAAAAAGGTATTATCTAAAACATTTGAATTGACCATTCATTGTAATGATTTTATATGAAACAGTGAACCATCTTTCTCCCTTGTTGTCGCCAACTGGTGCCTTTGTAATGTGATTCCATCTTCCTCTCAGTACTCACTTGGGTCACCGTTATTATGTCAGAGACAATCTTTTAATGAAAACTTCTCTGAGTTGCTGAAAATGTGGTAGACCCTCCTGTGCAATCTTCTCGGTTTCGTCCATTCCACTCTCCAGTCTACTCCAGCTGCAGAGACTGCCATTATTCAAATCTCTTGTCCATTGATCTTAATTGTAAAATTAAGAGCTCTTAATTTTTCTCGATTTAATCTCCATCGCAAATAAAAGACAAACACCATTGACATCCATTTACATGTTTTTGATCCCTTTATTCATTAACTCTTCTAAAAATATATAAGTAAATAAACAAGAATAACTTTCATTTTCCGAGCAACTCAATACAACACCAGCCTGCCCAGATGCTCTGACAGAAAAAGAGAGGGGGGGGGGGGGAACCCAATATCTTGTCTTTCTTTCATACACAAGCGGTAATTATAGAAAAAATAACACATGCGCGGGAGACTAATTCAAACACTTGAGACTTGACACCATGCCAAAAGCAATGGTGTACCTTTGTCTATCACATTGCCCTTCTATATGTTATGCTACTGCCAGAAACACATGAGGAAGACATGTTATTAGAAGGGATTGAAATATAATTGTTGAAGTATAACTGAATTCAGAAGTTGTGAATTAATTTAAACATGCAGAGCTGCTTGGACACACAAAAGAATTTACCTTTGTTGTATTTCCACATAACTTATCATGTCATATTTAGAACAGGGTCAATAATCTAAAAGGCAAAAGTAAAGACCCTTTTAATCATTAAGGCCATTGTTGGTTCATGAGGACAATGCATTGTTTGCTGTTTTAAGCTGGAGGCGTGTGTTCTTGTAAAACTTTATTTATCATACACTGAAATGTCGTTTAGTGAGAAGTGGGTTTCTTATTTGCAGCCTTAACGACCTAGTGGACTACTTTCAAGATGGCCTTGGATTGCTTTTTTGCGGTGTGGTTTGTTGTTGGTAATGTGTGGATTTTTGGAGGTCACTCTTCTCCTTCAGTTGCTCCTAAGTTGTATAGGTACTAATAAATGCCTATATTCATCAACCACTGTTGGGCTTCCACCACGTTTAAGTTGCTTACTTTTTTACACATTCTTCAGGTTATGCATAGTATTCTTTAGCTTCAGCTGTATTGGGTATGCAATGCTGCTTATACTATGTGCAACAATTTTTTGCTGCTTTCCATGTATGATATCGATCCTGGGTATCCGAGAGAATCTTTCTCAGACTAGAGGATCCACGATTGAATCCATTAATGCCCTGCCAACATACAAGTTCAAGATGAAGAAAGGTGGTGACAATCAGGACATCCTCTCAGAAATGGGTGAAGGAAGGATCAGGGCTGCAGGAACTGAAAAAGAGAGTGCCATATCGGGAGAAGACACTGTAAGTTTGGTACGAAGTTTCTGATTTAATGCTATTCAAATCTGGGTTAATTCCAAGAGAAACCCATGAACCTCCCAAACCAAAAGAAAAAAGAAGAAAACTAAAGAAATAGCCCCCACCGCATGCACACAAAGTGGGGATGCCAGTTGCAAATCAGAAGAGTAGCTGATTTGTAGTTTCTTGATCTTGGAATAATATTCTCTGTTAGATCTTCAGCAGTTTAATTTGTTTTCTATGTTCTTGCTGCTAGATAACCACTAGATTATGAATGTTCCAATCGTAATGCATGCTCTGCTTCCCAAGACTTCTAGAAATTGCTATAATTTAACAAGTCACCTCCATTTCCCTTCAATTTGTTGCATGTTTGTTGTATTTGTTTGACAAAATATGCAGACGATGAGGAATTGAAGGAACTACCTTGCTATCATTTTTTTATTCGGATTGCGTGGATAAATGGCTAAAAATTAATGCATCGTGCCCCCTTTGTAAATTTGAGGTCTGAGAGTGATGGGGCCTCATCATCAACTACAAACTCCAGCCATCACCACAGGTAGCCGATAGTGGGAACTGGGTCTGCTGGAGCACTGTGTTTTAGTTCCTGATTGCTTTACCCCAACTTACGATGAACTTGCAGTCGGTACCAAAGCAGTGATGCTACTTAATAGCAGCACATATCTATGCAACGTGATTCAATTATTGTAAGGCAAGATACACAGCTCCTATAATACAAAGGATGACAATGCATTAGTTGTAGGGATTTGAAAAATACATGGCCTCCAACAATTTCACCCGTTGGAGTGATTCTGGAACTCGAACTGGTGTGATTATATACCTTCAAGGAATAGTGAAAAGATGTACTGTAAATTTGTATGGCCACGCATTGTGACACCTTGAAGTTACTGTTGAGCCTTCACTGCTTTGCTCGAATTATTTCATCTACAACTTGAATGATAGTTTTACCAATCATCTCTTGCTTTATTGTATCACGCATGCTTTGTACTGGCCGAATGCCAGCTAGAAGTTAACACTGCTGCTCTGAAGACTTCTCTTTCACGTAAAGAAATGGCTCATAACCCAGAAGACTATTGGAACTCCTATCTGTTCTTGAGCAGGAATTCAAACCCGAGAATCATTGAAGCGCAAGAAAAAATTAGCAACCCAATAATTGTTACCACAGTGAATTTAGGACAGGCATCAAGTACATGTACATCTTATCAAATGAATCCAAAGGAACAGATAATAAGACTCAAAATTGCTGCAATGTCAATCAACTGTTTACTTGTATGATTCCATGACAAAATTGCCCCACATTAAGTAGTATTTATACATTATGAATAATTGTAAAAGAAACGAAGCAAATACAACATGCTCTTGACATGGGTCGGTCATGGTGTGGTGTTGTTCTAGGGATAGGACAAGTACCCGGAAGAACTTCTGCAGTGCCCCCTCTGACCTAAAAGTAGTTCAAAAATGTTGTGATACAAAACCATAGAACCCCTCGCACATGATTCCACCAGAAAGTGCGTGAATTCATTAACTTTTGAGACACAATGGAAGTAGAATTATACACTTGCAAAGAAATGCATACCAGAATAGCGTGGAGATTGAACTGGGTAAAAAGAAAATTCAATCTCAAACCAACACTAAATTGACCCTCACCATAACTTCCACAAAACCTCAAAATCACCTTGCTGGCCGTGCTTTCTCCTTGCATCCAGGTATATTCCTGAAGCCTCAACGTGGTTTTGTGACTCTTCATCACCCCGTCTTGGTCAACCTTGTGCAAAAAGCTAACAAAATGTGTCCACCATATTATGTGATTAGATGGCAAGATCCTTAAATGCCTTGAGTTTTTCTATTCCATTCGCTGAAAGAGGCTCTCTGATTTGACTACCATCTGGATGATTTGCACCCCTATTTTCGAGGTTCTTGTGTATCTCATTGTAAGTCGATTTTGCCACAACAGAGCTGTGGCTGCCTTCGAAGTATGTTGAGTATGGGAAGTACTCTTTACATCGCACTTTCCATCCTACAAGCACAAAACCATAGCAGTATTATGCAAACGCATTTGACCCTTATGACTTCCTGGTAAGCGGTACAGCAAACTTGGCATGGCCATGTATCATGTCCCCAAAAAACCCTAGTTATGTAAAATGACAAGCAACAAAAGACCCAGACGCTAGTGTAAAGTGATGGCAGAAGACAGTATAAAGTGAAAAAGCTACATTGCACATCTATCACTAATCGTTTATTACATCAATAAGTATCGGAAATAAACTAAAAAAAAAAATAAAGGGAAAATGGAAGAATATGTAAGTGTGCCTCAAATCTTTGGTTTTTTTGTTTTGGCTCAAAAAGAGATGTCCAGAAAAAGATTAGAGACAGCACATATGAACTTTGCATGAAGTTCACATGTGGCACTAGTTTGCAAATTCCAAAAAAGTGGTATACCCCTGTTCCATCTCCTATAACAACTACGAACAAGAGGTGAGTACTCTGAAATAACCAAGAGATATGGAGAAAAAGAAGTGCCGGACTTACCTGATGCGGCATCAATCTCAATCAAAATTGTTCTTAGAAGTCTGTGAACTGTTATGCAGTCTTTGAGTTTCCATTCCCCGACAGGTCCAAGTGCTCCATTTCTAATTTACCAAATGACGTAGAGCTTCAGTGATCAATTATTGTTTGGAACTATACAATCAAAAGTATCATGCAATATCACCGGAATAAATGAATGCAAAAAAAGAAAAATATACTAAGAGACATTACGTTGACACCAGGTTGTTGGATGATTCTTCAATTAATTTGACAGCGTCAGCCTTCTGGTTTGGTTCCAAAAGATATAACATTTCTGCTACTGCTGCTCTATGCATCAAGGAATCTGCAAACAAGAAACCCGTATGGCATTATCAATAAAAAGGCACAGGGGTGTGCATGTACTAGAAAATATAGTAGTTAGATAATGACCTTTGTGCTTCTCAAGGAAAAAGGTGTTTGCCTCGATGAGAGATTTCTCATGCAACTGGCTAAAAGAGTGAAAAGAAAAAAATGAGAAAATATAAATACGCTGCAAAACTATCACTAGATTAGTTTACTGCAACAACCAGGTGCAAGATAGAGACAAAAGAAATGAAAAGTAACATCTTATATCAAAGACAACCTCAAATTAGGCCGCTCAGCTTCCAATACACCCCAAATGACTTTCTCAGTGTCCGTCACTGGAGCAGGCATGGACCCCACTTTATGGAAAAATCTTATCTGCAAGAAAACTTTTAAATCAGGATGTGCAACCAAGGGGGGCCCTTTGGCACTCCTAAGGGTTTAGGACATTGTGCACACACATAATTTATGCATGACAGAATGTGTGAGTGTGTGTGTCGTACACTTTAGGCAGCACATACTTAACATGGTCATTGACTTAGTTAACAACGGTAAAACATACCAAGCAGCGATGGGAGTCTGAGTTTTCAGCATCTAACCGGAGTAGGTGCTTTACAGCCTGCAGGGAAAAGAATAGCATCTTCATACATTTCCGTAAGATAACATGAAAAGCCAGGAACTGGAAGCAGTTATTGATGCATACCATCTTCAATTAATGATATAACGCCTAATTAAAGGTGAAAAAGGAAAGGCTAAACATTCTTCCAATACAAAGCTGGCTTCTTTTACAGAATTACAATTAATCGATTAGTAATCACATTTCATGTCATTAACAACACGTTTTTAGTTGGTGTGCTCCTTAAATGATTTATATTGGTTTTAAATTGTAATAACTAAGCCCACTGCTATTAAGTTTACATGGTAAAACCATCCAAACATGAGGGCCAACTGAAAACTGGGGGGAAAAAAAAAAAACTCTTCAAAATTCAGCACTAGAGAAGTGCAGATGAAGGTACCTGGAAAGCCAGCAAGATTTTCTGCTTTCTCATATTTACTTCAAACGAAAGCAAATGTGTCTCTAAGGAATCAGGTGAATGTTTCTGAAGCAGCTTCAAGTACTTTGTAGCTTCCAACAAAGGATCTTCAACCTGCATAAATAAACATCCTCAATGGACAAGATCTTGTTATCTGAAACATAAGAGATGAACTATGCTGAAGAGGGTGGAAATATCCAGAAGCAGTCAGAAATTCTGGTGCTCAATAACCGAATATATATACTCACCAACTCAAATCTTATCCCAACTGTTGGGGACAGCTAACACCACCACCACCCCCCCCCCCCGGAAAAAAAAAAACAAAAAAGAGAGGGAAAAATACCTGCAATAGTTTTTCTCCATGTGGGTCCGGATCTACTGGTTTGACATGGCGTTTTCCAGTTTTAGAAACACCAACACCACTTGCACTTGATTCCTCATTTTTCACTTCTGCCTCCTAATAACAAGCATAAAAATTAGAATGCCAATTACACAGACAGAAATCTTTCATTAGTACAAAGAGCAAACAGAAATACTTTCTTGGCTCGGGCTTCTGCCTTTCTCTGTTTTTGCCTCATTTTCCTTTTCTGAGAAGGAGCCAACTTAGCCATTTCATCTTCCTCTTCAGCTAATGACTTTGGAGGAGAATCATACAACTTTAAATAGCATCTGCATATCAATTCAAGTGATGGGGATTATAAAGACTCTGCAAAAAATTACATAATGAGTTATGAACTCAGTTGAATAGATTCATTGTACATGTGTGCAGGTGATCAGTGAAGTACAAATACTATGACAGGCAACAGTTGCACCAGAACTGACCCATGAGATCAATGGGTTAATCATACCCATTGCAATCCGTTTGAAGGTGTATCTACAAGCATGACATTGACCAAATGGAAATCAAAAACGACATTGCCAATTCAGCAAGAATGTTGTAGGCGGAACATGGAGAAAATCATCACCTGATGGCTCCAGTTGCTGCTTTGCGAAAATAAGGCTGTGAATGGAGCCGATCTTGGAATTTCAGCATTTCCACATAAGTCCGCAGAGTCATTTTCCTTAAACAGTAAGAATGGAAATCAAACTGGTCTTCTGTGATGTCTGCATAATGCTTCTCCACAGATAAGAATTTCTTCAAAGCCCGTCCAAGCTCACCTTGACGGAAGTAACTTTCACCAGACGCAATTTCATACCTTCAGAATATATAGATAGTGTAACATATTTAGCAGATGTAACCAATATTCTAATTACTCAAGAAAACTCATTGTAAAGTATAAAATAGTGACGCACCACATGCATTGCATATCATGAAGGTTATTGTGTGGATCCCCATCTTTTGTGAACAATACGGCTGTCTTTTCTGCCAGCGCAACCTTCAAAGAAATATCCATAACCATTTAAAGGAAAGTTGAGCTGAGGGAGAAACACACGACATAGCATGAAGGATAACTGAGTGTAAAACATAATATACAACCAATACGAAAACATAAAAAGGCAGCTTTTAGACCTGATCAGCCTGCAGCAGACGTTTAACACATTTGCTATTGATGTAGCGATCTGCAAGATCCATACATCTAGCTTCATCTGCCAATGCAGCAGCAGCTGCCAAGTCACCAGAATGCTTTAATATCTGACTCTGTTGTGAATAGAAAACCACATAAATACCCTTGAAAAGAACCACAGCCTACACCTAGTAATTCAAATGATTCTTAAACCTGCATTACGTATATAGGCACAGAAATTATCATCTCCAAATATAGAAATGAAATTCAAATGACAGTGGTTTAACTGTCAGCAAGAAATCATCACATGGAGGTCAATAAAGGTGCAGGATCCAACATGCCACATTAAGACACGAGACAGAAAGATAATATAGGTTTCAAAAATTGCAAATGGGTGCATTGCTGTTAAGCACCTACTGTAAAAAACTTGAGATAAAAATAAATACACCACCATAACAACCAAGCATCTAGCTGATGCTGATTAACACTGCTTCCTCTGGATACAAACAGCTCAGATTGATCAATAGTTTGAATCATTTGTTTCTATGTGGAGTTGTTCAATATATTGTCACTATCAAAGTGAAAATAAGAATTTCAGTCAATATTCTGATCCTCGCAACTAATTCCCTTTTACGGACATCAGAAGGCAAGGTTCATATAATCTCATGGAAGTTGTGCGGGCTCTCCACTCCTAGTCACTAAGTAGTGCTATTCTGTCTTCTTGGGAAATGGGATTTGAACCCATGATACAATCTTCTTGTATGTCGATTTAGCAAACCAATCCCTTAAAAAAGATGATATCACACCAACAAATAGTAAGCTATCAAATATTTTGACAGGATGTACAAGGTTGAAAATATGACAAAGTTTTATTAACAAATCACTTCAAAAACCAAAAAATCAACAACAAAGAAAAAGACTCCTGATAATGTATGGTCCTATAAAAAACTTAGATACCATACATTGGCAGATCATTAATATCTGAAAACACACCTATGATGTCACAAATACATAACATAAAGCACCTTTTTTTGATAAGAACAGTATAAATCACCTTGACCGTGTATAAATCAATCACAGTTGGAGTGTGTTCTATAGCCTCGTCAATTTTTTCCAGAGCAATGTCATATTGACCTCGTCTGTCATAATGCTGCATCAATAAAGGTTGTTTTTTAGAAAATCACTATAAAAATAAGTAAGTGAAAGTATAGCGCAAGAAAAAAAGCAGCCAATTATGTAAGCGATGTTAGCAAACCTGAGCTAAATAAAACAAAACCCACAGAAGTGTCGACGGGGGCTCCTTGTCCATCCTGCACGCGAGGCAAAATGCAATGTATAGCACTGAATGAAAACGAATACTACAACAAGATCTTAATTACAATATAGCATGTCCAAGATTGGTGTTTGACTCATTGAACTGGACCTGTATAAAACATAGTGCGTATCATCAGTTTTGATTAGTACAGAGGTGATCAGCTGTAGAAGCCCGCCAGATTTCTGTAAAGGTGTACTGTATTGGTATCATATTTGAAAAATGAATCACTGCTAGTTGTAAGAGCACTAAAAACAGAAACTTGATGGGCAATCAACACCACAAGCCATACTTTCCATGGCAAACTCACACTCACGACTCCAAATTATGGAAGGGCTAGGCCGCTAGGCTATAAGGTCCTTATTGTATTTTACAGAGATCAAGATGCTGAGTCAAAGGGTAATCATATTGATATCCTAGCAGAATTTGGATCAGGAAAATCTAATAAGTCCACTATTAGATTGAATTTTGATGAGTTCGCATTCATGTATACCAAAAATAAACAAGGAAGAAAGGTCGGTGTTGGTACTGCCAATGCAGGAAGCTAAGAGTAGTCAAGTGTATTATTGACACTAATAAGCAACAGATACATGTGTAAATGTGTGTGTATGCGTGTGTTATACTAATAGCCTTCAGGAACCAAAAGAGCAGGTCACTGTCATTAGACCTTTATGAAACCCAGCGGGGTCATAGCAGCCCAGCTAAGCAAGAAAACTAATGCATGCAACTCACAAGCACAAAACAAACATAAGAAAATCAAGAATCATTTTACATGAAACAGGCCACAGCACATTAGAACAGGGACCAAGGTTCTGAGTCAAAGTTCCACAGCATGTTTCCAATAGTGATAAGATGCACAATTACTAAGCAACAGGTGAGAAAGTACATTACCGCCCGGGGTATCCACCAATTGTCTTGATTGAGTGTTGCAACCCAAGAATCAACTGCTCTAGAATGTCTGCCTGTATAGAAGGAGCAAACACTAAACATATAGAAACTGATAAAACAAAGCTCCCTCCACAAAACTACAAACTGTACAGCCTTTAGTTTCCTCGCTGTATTATCAGATAATTTATTAGAGGTGTTTCACGAACCTTGCCAGGGTGATCGTAGAGAGGAGAAAGATCAGAAAATAATGAAGGAACACCCTGAAATCATCACAAAACGAAGTAAATGCTTCGCTTCTAAAACCAGGGCAAAAATAAATATAATATAACAAAAAACTCTAAACACCTTAGTTAAGAGAGGTCTGATATAATTATCTGCTGCTTCCCGGAACTTTTCAACATTAAGAAAATCAAGTGGTATTCTCTGACAAATGAATAAACAAAATTCCATACAAACCATTAAAGTTCATATAGATTGGAAAAACAAAATTTCAAAACAAAATACTTAAATAAGTTTGACAGAGTCCTCAAATTGGCAACTAGTGGTGATTTAGGCCATGATCTTCATGCGCACCAAGACTCTCAATGTCATTTGATTAATAACATACAGTTATATTAAAAAGATTAAGAAATGTACAAGGGAGCTATCTTCAGAGCGTCTTCAAGACCTTATGACCCATCAAAACAATGTTACAGTAACAACTTAATCAAAAGCTAGAAATGAAAGGCCATGCAAGATACAACAAACACAAGAAATACAAAGTGTCAACTTTGCAGAAACAAGTGGAAGGACAATCCTAACATTCAATAGGAAATGCAACCATCAGCAAGTCCTTATATTCTCATCAAGAGGCTTGTTAAGACAGACAAATGCACACATGCAGGCAGAAATGCACCACTTCATAGAAGAGCATGTCGATGTTCTGTTAGGGATTTCAGAATCCACCAGGTTTTCCCACTTAACAACTAACAAATCTCTTTTCCATCTCAATGAAAGGGGCATTTTCCAGTGTAGATAAAAGGAATGGGAAAAGAAACAGAGGGAATGTGCCACCTTAACAGCAGATGACTTATTGTATTGCTGCCCAAGTGATATGTACAAGGCCTCTAACCGATCAATTTCATCCAAGGAATATTGGCCACTTTCTGAATGAATTCCAACACACTTTTGTAGCCCTTCATAATATCTAAGCAAATAAAACAAGTGAGATAAGAGCTGTTAGCTAAACTTGAAAGAAATAGAGGATACAAACCGAGGGAATAAGGAATTCACTCCTACCCCACCCCACCCCCAACCCCCTTATTTTTTTAAAAAAAGAAGGAATACACCAAATTGGAAGTCAAATAGCAAGTGATAAAATAAACCCCGAGTATCGTGTGCATTTCTCGTCTCATCAAAAAATGAATATTTCACTTGCATGAACACATATAGACTCATAGTATTAAAAGTTCTAAATGAAAAGATAATTACCTACCTATAATTATCAGGATTCATAGAAAGCAGAATCCTGTACAGCTTTTTGCCTTCTTCAAGGTGACCCAGCTTCACAAGAAGAGCAACCTCTTGTTCCTTGTACGCTAATTTATCAACCTAAGATGATATTTATCAAAACGGGTCAACATTAGGATTCAACTTGAAACTTAAAAGTTCTATCACGCCATTTTGATAGCAACCTAAATAATCTGTACTTACAATTTTAGACTCTTTCTTGTGCAACTCCTCAAGAGCTCTCTCAAAAAAACCACATTCCTCTAACAAAGAAATCTGGACACAACACATGCACATACAATAATCAAACCATGAGAAATAACAAAATCTACAGAAGTAACAAAATGAAGCAGGAACATAGGCCACCTGATAAAGACACGTGTGGCGAAATGAATCACAGAGGATCAAACTTATCTCACCACGAATCAGAGGCAATTGCATAGCCGGAGAGACAATATATGAAATACAAAACCTTCACCAACATAATACACTACATATCCATGAACTTTAAGTGTTTCATAAAACTAAGAAAGACAAGCTTTACCAAAAAGCAGAATTCCAAATCTCTCAGACTTGTGGTAGATGTTTAAAAACTTCTATGAATTTAGTTCAACTCTTGCATGGCTTGCATACACATGGAGCATGCACAAGGATACCCCACACCTTCCCTCCAAAAAGAAAAGAAAGAAAAATGATAGAAAAGACTATCATAAAATACCTCTTGAAACCTTCTGATAAACGCTGCTGATAAAGCTCCACACATGCGGGCACCTCAACTTTACTGTTGTATATTCTTTATCCAATTATCCCTATTCAACTGGCTCTTTCCCCTTGTTAAAAGCACAAATCCACTCACTTGAAAGAAACTCAATGTTGACTAAGGATGCACAAAATTCTGATGGCAGCGAAGATGAGTATTCTTATACAACCCCCCGCCCCCCACACCAAAAAAAAAAAAGAAGTAATAATGCTAGTAAAATAAATTAATGGTAGTATGTGCATAGAATGTGGCACTGAAAATGTAAGAAACCTCGTATCAACGCTTAAATCAGCTACGTTCAAGTTGAATCACAATGCCTTCAAAATCAAATTTATAAGAGAGATTTTACAGGACTCTTAATCTTCGGCAGGCTTATTACAACCATAACAATATGAGGTCTACAACACCACCACCCCTATAACTGGCACTCTTCGTCGTCGTCGTCGTCAAAAACAACAAAAATAACTACACTCACACACGTATTTATCTCAGTGCAGTTCATGAGCACAACAAAGTGTCCCATTGATAATTATTTAAATCAAACTTAGATGGACGAGAAGAGAATTGTCTGCAATATATCATATATGGAAATAATTTACAGGTGTATGGTTAATCACTGTATAATTGTCGCATATCAAAATTAGTACCTTGTACAGCAGCATTTCGCCATGCTCACAACGTTCATTATCTGGTGGACAATCATCTTCAAGAGTCCCTTCATATGCTTCAAGGATATCTACTGTTTTCGATCCACTAATAAATAAACAAAAGTAACATACATAAGTGCTTCAGGAACCACAACAACAATTAAATTTTATTTCACCCACTTAGAAATAGCAATTCAGCAACAATAAACAAGAAAACATACAAAAGCAGTTTCAACCTGCACTTTAATCTAAAGGTGCAGTCGTAATAACATGTGAAAATCACTCAAAAGTATGGGGTACAATCTTTACCAGATCAGTACGAAGGGACTTAGAGACTAAAATGCATCTTGACCCTCTATCTTGTATTATTATAGATCTCTACTAATTAATGCAATGAAGAGTGCCAGGCATCTAGATATTCTTTTATTGGTAGGCCCCTATAACTTCTCAGAAACACAATCACACGCATGGAACTCCTTATTACCATGCCGACAAATGGAGTTTGCACTTAAAACTTCTATATAGGAATTGTATATGCTCACATCCACTTCTTCTTTTTTTCTTTTTTTTGGTAAGAAGTAGATAGTTAAGTGGAATTTACTTCAGCTAGAATGTATAACTTATGCTGCTCAAATTCATACATGAATCTAATTGTGTGTTACATCTTTCAAAATTGATTACTTCATGAATTCACTCATTCCAAACATCATTCAAATCCTAAGGGTGAAAGGGATTAGCAACTTGAAAATGTAAAATTTAAATGATGAAACTTCGGCTCTAAGCCATGAGATTATTGTTTGGCACGATTATTCTATAATTTTAGATAAAACAAATTTTCATTTTTTTGAACAGTTATATAAAACAATTGATAATGGAAAAAAAAGCACATTCCTTAGAAACCAATAACTTACATGTACCTCAAACAAGGGTTAAAAAGACTAGACGTAACAACAATAGGCCAAAAATATCAAAGTGGAAAGCAACAAACAACTGTTAACAAGGACTTTCCATTTTCTGATATTTTCTATGATCAAATAGTTTAACAGATATGCTGAGTCTTCCAAACAAGAAACTGACATAGTGAAGAGCACATTCCAATATTTTGTAACGAGTAATTACTCTAGTTCATGACCTGGGATAGCATTTGAAGAGAATCATACAGTTGAATATCAAGTAGTTATATTGCATCTTATATTTATAAAAACCAAGGACCACGGTTTACTTCGAGTTTAAGTGGTGGGCAACAGCAAAGCCAATCCAATTCATACGATGATTTGGTTTCAGACTCAGTAAATGCTGTCTTGTTTCAACAAAACCTGCTAGGTCACGCATTTGAGCCTGTAATTGGAGGCAGCAAACCATTATAGAGCAGAAAATCATGGGATGTAAATAACTTCTCATAGAGTCCAAATAAAAGATACATCACAGTAGATCAAGTCACTTCGTAATAAAACCTATGATACAATGGAAACATATAACAGCCTATAATCAGCTCCTTGTGAAGTGTGTGATTGTTAAAACACGTACAAGAGAAAACCCAAAGCGCGTACACATTCGTTCATGCTCATTATTCTTCTGATAAGTGAGAAACCACCATAACTCAGGGAAACACACAGATTGGCATCCAACTGACGACCTAAATATACAATCAAGGCCTTAGCCAGGAAGAGTGCACCATAGTTGCTTCTTTCCCCAGGATCAGAAAATGCTGATCTCTTGAAGAAGAATTACCACAAGGAGTGCGAGAGTTACAGGAGAAAACAGAGTATAGCTTGCCAATCCCAAACTAAATGGAGACGAAACAAAATAGGAAACCCAAGCACAAAATACTAACGAGTGAATTAAGTACAGAAAAGTTCCAAAACCAGAATGAGCAACATTCAGAAATCAAGAAGCATTACCAACAGGGTTGTCAGTCATATAACAACACAGGCACGTTCAAGGTGAATCACAAAGAGGGTTCCCGAGTATATCTGGTCCCTTCAAAGTCAAATTATCCTCAAAGTTATTCGCAAAGATTACAAATGTTACAATGCCAACACCTAGGACTATGCAGAGTCTGGTTGCATGGCCCATGCACACTTTTTTTTCATCCAAACTGCTCCTATATATAAGAGATACCGACTCTAACTCGTGTACTGTCTAGCAATCATATAATTCAAAAAAAAGTGCACCCTTTCTATCCAACTAAAGGAATATTTAACATCTTTCTTTTCATTGTCCCTTTTCTCCCACTATATCCAGGGTCACTTTCTTCTTTTTTCTATGACGCATGCCCCACACATTTTGTGAGCTATCTAGGAGAAGAATGCAACTTTCCCAATAAAAAAGAAAAATGAGATGGGGATATGGCCTTTTTGGGAGGGATGTGTGGTAATCCTATCGCAACATTTTATGCCAAGGTTCTCGTGCCTTATTTTTTTTTTTATAAGAAACAACCCTTTCATTTCAATGAAAGATGAGAAATTACATAAATGGTGGATAAGAAACCCACTCAATACCAAAACGAATAAATTAAAAAACCAAAACGAAACTTCAACTACAGACGGCTTTCCAATTTTGTTGAAAAACCAAAAGAGAAATGGCACTAAACTCATTTGAAACCTTTGCCCATAACGTTGCTGAAAACTTCACCTTATCCCATAACCAAGGATCAAAATGTCGTGTCGACACGTCCGAAACGTTTCGGAATTTCAACACTCCGAAACGAAACAGTAGTTGAATCACAAAATTCCAGTGTTTCGGTCGAAACGGTACTGTTTCGGACCGTTTCGATCGAAACGGCATTGTTTCGAACCGTTTCGACAAAACAGTGATATATTCGGTTCATTATGAATAATTACATTTAATACCCCATTATAATTACATTTAATACCCACTGTAATTACATTTAATACTCACTATAATTATATTTAATATCCCACTATAATTACATTTATTCCCACTGCTCTTCTGTCTTTTATAATTTTTTTGTTATAAGAATAAATAATTACACTTAATACCCTACTATAATTATATTTAATACCCATTATAATTATATTTAATACATACTGTAATTATATTTAATACCTCACTGCCGTGCAAGTTTTTTGCTTTTTTTTTTTTTATAAGTATTAACAATTACATTTAATACCCTAATGTAATTATATTTAATACCTACTGTAATTACATTTAATACCCACTGCAATTACATTTAATTTTTAAGTATACATAAGTATCATTAATTTAATTTGATACCCTTCATTATTAGTATTATAATAAAATAGTATTATTAATTGGATTATATTACCGTAATAATATGATTTGGAGTAACTATTGTCATCATATTTATGTCACATATGGAGTTTCTCTAAGTAGCTACCCAGAGCCTACACCGATGTATGAGCCTGCTCGACACTCCACAGGGGAATGGATGTAACCATGTAAGTATGTACTCATTAGCATTTCATGTGTATTATAAGACCTTAATATTATGTAAAAATGTGTTTATTTCATAAAATTAAGTGTTTGAAACTAATTTAAGTGACTTTCGCCTCAAGTCAAGCCTTTTTTTCCCTCAAATTTAAATTTATTCTTGTATAAATTGATGTTAACCTAATAAATATGTTGAATTAATAAATTATTTAGCATATCTTTATAAATTAATGGATTGCATTTGTGTTTCTATGCGTTTCCATTGCGTTTCCGAAATGTTTCCGAAACGTTTCTATTTTTGAGTTGACCGAAACGGTACTTCGAAACGAAATTTTGATCCTTGCCCATAACAACTCCTATGGGTATAACTCTATCGTGTCTCCATAGAGCTACAGAAACCATTAACATATGTCAGCTTTTCTGGGTAAAAAAACTATATACATATATAGCCCTATTTATCTCCATAGATGCCAGGACACCAACGACAGATATTGACCCTTTTTCTCTTTTCTGGTATATAAAAAAAAGACCATATAGAAACATGGTTTACAAAGTGATCATAACAAAGGGCAATAACTAAGCATGCAAAAAAAAACCTGTAAAAGAGACAGGTCCCGTAGTATTTCGATGTTATCAGGATCAATCCTCAAAGCATTTCGATAACATTTAATTGCTTCCCGGTATTCCCTGTCTGACCGGTACAAAAGACCATAAACATGCCAGCAAACATGACTCTTAACGTCATTCTGCATGAGATAAATTCAGTTCAGCCTGATGTCACATCACAAACGTGGAAAAAAGATAAATAGCAGATATTCAAATTTTATTAGGAGATCAGAAAGAATCTGCAAACCTTCAGACCAAGCCGGACAAGTTCATATGCTTCTGATTTGCGGTCCATGCAATTCAATGTCAAACCCTTCATTGAAAGAGTTTCTGATAACCAGGAGAGGGAACAAAAGAAATTAAATGGCAAACAGTTAATGCGTAAAAGAAAACATAAAAGAACTCATAATTATTTGGCTCACCACATTTTTCAGGAAATACAAAAAAAACTAAAGACTCCAAAACTACATAATACCAGGATTTCAACCTGATTGAAACTATGCAGGTTACACACATCACACATATTTCAAACTGCAGTTGAATTGATTGCTTCAAGAGTAGGAGACCATTATTATTATGCCCACAAGCTCAAGAATACAATGGAGATCTGCCGCTTGTGGTAAGCATTATTTTTTGGAACTCTATACAGTGAGTTTAAAAGGCAGAATGTTAGGCTCAGTTTGGGTCATCTAGGGATGGTATCATAGAGGGGGTGATTGAGGTTTTACCTTCTTTCTTTTCGTTTCTTTTCTTTAATTTTTCCCCTTCCTTCTTGAGCACATCACTACGATGTTATTATAAACAAAAATTGTCACACCCTCAAACTCTTTATTTATACTACTAATAATAGTGTTTTAACATGAAAAACTTTTGACCCACTACTTTGTCCTTGTTAAAAATTATAATGCAAACTATGTCTTTTCATATTTAATTTCTAAATTATCCTCCAACATCTCCTTTGATTTTATCGTCTGATTCTATCTACTATTTATAAATGTGTAAATTAGCCTTATCAAGAAACTGATGGAAAATAGTATCTTGAAACCAAGAAGACAAACTGTTTCCACTTCAGACGGTTGGATTTGGTGGCTCTTCCTTCTTCCACTTACTTCTCATTCCTTACCAGTTGATGCTACAAGACTAAAAATTTGGCACCTCTTCCCTTTCCCACTTCTAACTTCTTATTCGATACCATGAAAAGTAAATGCTATGAGACAAATGAAAATTAGACTTCATTATAAAACTTGTCTCTTTCTCTCAACTCACAATGCATCTTTCTAAACCAGTATTATTTTTTCTTCAGTTGATTTGTGAAATTCAATTGTCTCTCGATATGTCATCTTCCTTAAGGGAATAAAGCTTGTGACATTGTTCATCACTATTTCCACCAGCAGCTTTATTAGAAGCAAGTAGTATTCTGCTTAACTACTGTAGCTGTATAATTTGATATCATCTTGGAAAACTGCATGAGGTCTGAACAACATCATTTGTTCATTTCTTTATTTATTATCTTTTTTAGCTACTAATAATTAACCCTAGATTAAAGAAGAAACATTGCTACATATTTGGGATGATTGCATAAATTATTTCTTTCTATTCTCAACGTAAATAGTTTAGGTCTAGGAAGCACAGACACTTCTTTTTGGGTAGAGTGTCAAACACGGCTGGGACACGAACATGCTTCGGACACATTAAAATGAGTGTCCAACTTTTTTATTATTAAATTCTTTTCAAGACACATTTTGAACACATTGGGGACACACGGTCGACACATTGGGGATACGCTCAAGACACGTATTGAAATTTATTTTAAAATTTTTAAGAATTTTTCGGATAATTTTCTAATTAAGAGTTATTTTTATAATTTTAAAGGGATATGAGTCACAATAATAATATAAAAGAAATTATAATCATTACATTAAACATAAAACATAAATGTAACATAATTTTGAAAACGAATACAAACTTATATACAAATAGATTTAACTTTTAAATATGAAAGTAATATGAGAAAATATGGGGTTACAAAATTGAGGCTCTTAAAAATTGATAAAAATTAGTGCAACGAAGTGAAATATTCTTGAAAATAAAAGTTGTAGTAGTGATTGATTATTAGATCATAGATGTTAATGTTAAATATTTATCAGTATATTTTATATTGTACTTTTTATACAATGATATCATAATGTAAATTTTTAGAATTAGGGGAATGAATTAAAAGATTATTATGATAATATTTTTATTTTCTCACATGATTATATATATTATTTAACGTATCATCAATGTATTTGTGTTCTATTATTTTGAAAATTTTCGTGTTCGCGTGTCCGTGTCCAATTGTATTCGTGCCCATTTTCGTGCCCGTGCTTCTTAAGTTTAGGTGTTGTGAAGAGGCTAGAGTTGGAAGGGGTTGAAAAGGTTTTATATAATGCTCAGTCTACACTGGGCATTTGCTCTTTTTCTTTTATAAGATGTATCCTGATGTAGTTCTTTGTTTGTCTATAAATACAAATGACCTTAAAAAAACCACTAACAAAAAAGTTTTGACTAAGGAAAAGCTCTCTAGAAATGTCTAAACAACTTTCCCTCTAACCTTCGTATGAATCTATATGGTATGCACATATATCATTCAACATGACAATTTTTTGTGAGGCAAACATAATGTTTCATCTGCGCAATCCTTCAAGTACAACACTACATTGGTGCTGCCTTACTATGTTTCCATGATACCAACTTTTATTTCTCGATTGAAAATTAAGTGTTTAATTTTTATCTTTTCTCTTGTATCAATTTGATTTTAGCATTATTGATTTTTCTCATTTAAATCAGCTCATATACACCACACGTGGTGTATTACTACTACAAGAAAAAGGCAGCCATGCGATATAACACAAGAATTCTAAGTGGATCAACACTCAAAGACTAACTTCAAGTTGATTTCTACATGTATTGACAACAAACAATTGAGAACATATACACAACTTGGCCACCCCATGAATTTTCTAAATAGCTCTAAATCTTTACCTTCCCAACTCTGAACCATATAAAAGCAGAGTTTACCTATGTCACTTAGCCCTTTATTAGCTTAGTTGGCCTTTAAGATTGTGTGTAGGATAAGAGGAGCTTATTTTGATTCTCATTGTACAACTTCCTGTACAAAATTTTTCCAACCAATTACGAAACAATCGAGTTTAAGCAGCAGCAGGTTATATCAGTCAATCCCATAATATCTGGTTATTGGATGTGGGGTGCTTTAGTAACTACGAAGACCAATGGCATATGTCCAAGCCACACATAAAAGGAATATCTGCTCTGACGATATTAAACATCCTGGAAATTGCAAGACTATAATATAAAATTGCATAAAGTTCCACACACCTCCATGATCTGGAAACTTCTTCAATATGGCATCCGCAGCTTTCAACCCCTTCTTATACTGTTTTGTTTCATAGGATTTCTGCAAAGGATGAAGACAATTATCCATTACATTTTAGTTTAGCAGGCTTTTGTATATCACTAATGTAAGTATACATAAAAGTAATAGGGTTTTTCTATAGCTAGGCAATATAGGACCATTGAAAACATGGTAGCACTAACAAACTCATCCAATAGTTGAGATATAAACTCATCCAACAGTAAAAGTAACTTGTATTCATACTTATTTGATGTTTTCATGCTAATGAGCATACAATGGTATGATGCACATTTTCCAACGGGCATTTTCTAGATACAGGAATAATTTCTCCTCCAACCATATTTCCAACTTAATTGCCCCCAACAAGGTCATGGGGTAATAAGACAGATGTGTACCCGACCAAATAAATGTAATTCTACAATCAATCATTGTTCATTCAACATTAAAGGATGTTCCATGAAAAAGGAAATTTATTTTATATCGGAACACGCACTCGAGTGAAGCTTCATGCTCCACGAATCAAGACTGTGATGAGACTTGAAACTTATATACAACATACAAGTCACTGTGACAATATCCACCTGTTTCATGCTCCACAAATCAAGATTGGGAAAACATCAGAAATAATGACAATACAGATAAAATAAAACTAAAAGGGTCAAAAAAAGAACTGACTGAAAACCTAGGGTTTTAGTGAAGTACAAAGGAGGATTGAAAGAGAAAGAGTAATTTAGTTGTATTAATGCCGCAATGATTGCAATTAAAGGACGTGTGGAGAGAAAAAGGCAATCGGAGAACTTACGACAATGATTTTGAAGAGGTTGGCCTCTTTGGGAGGAAGCGAAGCGCCCATTGTTGCAGACCTCAGACGTTCTACAGAGAGAGAAGTGACGAAGTGAGAGAATAAAGTTAAGGGGGGCCTTTCTTTCGAGGGGCTGCGCCAGGAGAGAGAGAGAGAGAGAGTTGAAACTAGAACGGGGTGGCTTTTTATCTGCGGCATCCCTGCTGAGAACATTGAACAATCGAAGTAACTCGAGTGAAACTCAACAGGGGTGTGTTTGTAATTTTAATACCTCTTGACGAGTTTTTTTTTTTTTGGGTACATCTTGGCGAGTTTTTACCGCTGCCGTCTTTCTATTTTAGAATTATACCCCAAAAAAAAATAATTAAAGAAAGAGAATCTATTGTAAATTACATATATGACATTTTTGGCAATTAAACTCCTATTTTTTTACCTTAATTAAGTTCTTAAATTTTCTAATTATATCAATCGAGTCATTTTGTCCACCGAGTGTATCACTCAAGTGACTAAATGACACACAAATACAAAGTAGCTCAATTAAGACAATTAAATAATTTAGAGACTTAATTGACATAAAAAAAAATTTAAAGGCTTGACACACGGGTCATAATTTTGAGGATAATATGTAGAGTTTATTCCAATAATTAGTGGCATACTTCGCAATTTTTAGTTAAAAATTTTAACGGAGACAAACATAAGGATTCAATTGACACAATTATAAAATTCAAGAATTTAATTGATAAAAAAAAATTATAGGCTTATTAACATAAATATCATAATTTGGAAGGTATAATGTAGTTTACGTTAAAATCTAATACTATTACTAAATGGGTATGATAAAATCGCTCATTAGTTAAGAGTTAAAAGAGGTTGGCACATGTGTTTAATATCAATATTGTCAAATAAATGAATACAATAAATAGATGGAATTAAATGATTGATCTGCCTATTAAATGGCTTGACCGATCGATGGACAAAAAATTTATTGGTTAAGTAAACTTATATTTCGTTTAGTACGATGAAAAAGTGGGAGGATGAAATGTTGGAATGATGAAAAGTTGAAAGGATAAATAAAGCATCATATTTGGTAAGAAAGGAAAATAGGAAGGATGGAAAAGTTGATGGATTAATTTTCCTTCTAACTCACCAAAATCAATCCTTCTAAAATCGGAAGGAAAGTGAATGAAAATTTAATTATTTATGTTGAGATATATCTTATTTGTCTATATATATACACATTAATTTCATATAAAAATATAATTGTAAAATATGTATATATTAATATATATATATTAAAAAAAATTAAAATTAAATAAAAAATATTTTTTCCCTCTTAATTAAGGGTGAAAATTTTCGACTCAACACGATAACACGACTCGAACTCAATATAAAGATAAACATGTCAACTCGACACGATACAATTAGTTAAATGAGTTAAGTTAAGTTTGACTAATATTCGACATAAACTCGTAATGACTCAACACAAATCTGACATGACACGACTCGATTGTTACCTCAAATCTTAGCTAGCACAAAAAAAATATATTTTTATTTTTCATCTATCCAACTAAACACAAAGAAAGAAAAATGTATCATTCATATTTTTCATCCTTAAATGATAGAAAGTGTATCCCTCCTACTTTCTATCCTTTCTACCAAACGGAGCATTAGGGTAGTTATGTGTAGTTATGTGTGGTTATGTTGTAGGCAAGTAATGAAAGGGCTTACGGCACAAATATGTTGTAACCTATTTAATAAGACTCGCATGTAGACCTTAGTTAACAAGATACAGATTTAGATTTTTGGATCAGAATATCTTAATTAAATTACCTAACACATGTTGGTTAGGTTAGTAGATAGTTTCCTTGTGAAAGTTGTGTATTAGGTATAAAGAAATATGTTTAACAAATAATCAGTTTCTTAAAAGTTACCTTGACGGGAGGAAATTGTTACTGATTATTTTAATGTGAGACAATTGGTTACTGGTGAGGGAGATATAAATTACTTGAGAGGCTTCATCGCTTATTCACACTTACAGTATCTCTCACTCTCTGAAAAAATCTATCAGTAATCTACTGGAAATCAAGTTCGTGATTATATTCAGTATCTTTGGTATTCTTCTCATGAATATTTTCGCTACATATATCTATCAAAAATCATTGTTATGAATCCCGTGAGTAAATGGCAGTTTTCTATTCGATCTGTTTAAGACCATTAGGTCTAACAATGGGTATCAGAGTCTGGTCATGGGATTTGGTTCTTAAAATTTATTTTATTCGCATGATCAATTTGTGAGAAATAAATTTTATGAGTTATCGAATTTTTGTGATTCCTGTTATCGAAATTTTGCAAAGTAATTTTGATAAAGAAATTTTTTTGTTGCTGACTGTCATCGTTCGCACATGGACAATTGTTGACGTCAGTACAATCTAGAATGCAATATTAATTGCATTGTTTGATCTCTGTGTGTTTTTTGAATCCATGTGAATTACTTAGTGGACAAAAACATGAAAGTATGATGAATGAGTATTATTTTATTGATAAAATTTTTAGTGTGACATATGACATTTTGTCAAATTGAAGAGATAATATTTGTTAAATTATTACTGTTGTACAGAAAAGTTAAATGTCTTGAATGTTTGGGACTTTAAATAGTCGAGGGTATGATGCATGCAGTATATTTGTCCTACTTGATCTTGACGTGACACTGTTTTGATGGCATTTTGCCCATGAATTTTTTTTTATTTATTTTTATATAAATCCAAATTTAGGCCAAACTTAATTATTTTAATTATTGGATTCATATTGATAAATTTATTTGTTCATATGTCATGATCTAGAGTATTCTATACATAATGACGAGTCAAAGCATCTCGTGTATAAAAACTTATGTTTGATAAAATTATATTTATTTTAATTTTATGATGACAAGCCAAAGCATCCCATAATTTTAAAATATAAGAAAATTTATCAATAAAAAATTTGTGTTTATCCACGACATTGAGCACTTGCACTATATTAAATAATGATTTTATCCCAAATGGACGTTATTATATCATAAGTGATTGGTGGGGTGAAATAATAGTTTGAGGTATTGTGGCTAAGTTGAATTCTTGTTGCCCAACGGTCTTGAATTCTATTTTTCTAACATATTTTATGATGTTAGTTTCATCGTTAGATAAATCTTTATGATGCTATATAAAGTGATTTTATCACTAAAATTGCTAATATGAGTTAGTAATTTGGATAAAGTTTAAGCGTGATTATTAGCATGCATATTAATTGTAAACATGTAATACTCTATTTTGCAGGTTTACTACCTTGTCTTATGTCTCAATCTGCATCTCATATCCCTTTCCTTAATGGTTCAATTTTTTCGGAATGAAAAAATAGAATTCTCTTTATTGCTTGAGGTGTATGGAGATTGACACGACGCTTCGTAAGGATAGGTCACCTATCCCTATGGAATTCAGTACATCTAAAGAGAAAAATTTGCATGAGAAGTGGGAGAGGTCTAACCGCCTCAATCTCCTAATCATGCAAAGTCATATCTCAAGGAAAATTGAAGACTCCAGTCCGAACTCCAAAACTGCTAAAGAGGTCATGACTGCAGTTGAGGAGCAATTTGTGAGCTTTGAAAAGGCACTTGTTAGCACCTGATATCAAAGTTTGCTTCTTTGAAGTATAATGGTCACAATGACATATGCGAACACGTTATGAAATTATGTGACATCTCTGCCCAACACAATTCACTAGAAGTTGACATGTCTAAGACATTTCTTGTTCACGTTGTCCTTAATATTCTACCTTCAGAGTATGCTCCATTTAAGATCTCTTACAACACACATAAAGATAAATAGTTTATGAATCAATTTTTGACCATGTGTGTTGATAAATAACAGAGACTAAAGCAATAAAGGCAAGAAAGTGTCCATTTGACCTCTCATTAAGGAAAAGGATAGGTGGAAGCAGGTAGTAGCAGCTACCATGTTTCAATTAAGAAAAAGAATATGAAGGTGTTAGTCAGATCGGTAGGCAAAAAGGACTTCAAATGTTTATTCTGCAAGAAAAAGGGACATGCAAAAAAAGACTGCATCAAGTATAAGAAATGGTTCGAGAAGAAAGGTACATTTTTTTCTTTAGTGTGTTATGAATTAAATTTTATAAATGTACCTCATAACACATGGTGGATTGACTCTGATACAACTGTCCACATATGTAATACCATGCAAGAATTGCCGAACAAAATGGCCCTAACGAAAAGTGAACGATGCATCATTATGTAAAATAAGATGCGGTCACGTGTGGAAGCTGTTGGGATGTTCAAACTTGTTCTAAAGACTGACCACATTATATATTTACATGACACTTTCTATGTTCCTGAATTTTGTAGAAACTTTTTATCAGTACCTAGACTTGTTTCTTTTGGTTATTATGTTATGTTTGGACCTTCGTTTGTTAGTTTTTATTTGAATGATGTTGTGGTTGGTAATGGTATTTTAGATGATGACTTATTTAAATTGTCTCTGAATACATCTTTTGCAACATCGTTGATATCCTTGCATGATAAAAAAATATTGTGGATTAAAACGTGGCATTTTGAATGAAAATTCTTTCACTTTATAGCACAGGAGATCAGGACACATCTCCATAAGGAGAATTAAGAGATTGGTAAATGATAAAATCTTACCAAGTCTTGAATTCACATATTTTGACACTTGTGTCGACTGTATTAAGGGTAAATAGACTAATAAGTTCAAGAAAGGTGCCAAAAAAAGCTTGAATGTGTTGGATATCATACACACAGATATTTGTAGGCTATTCACGACCCCTTGTTTTATAGGCCATAAATATTTCATCACTTTTATAAACAATTTCTCACAATATAGTTGTCTGTACCTCTTGTTTTATAAGGACCAATCCTTAAATGTTTTCAACATTTTCAAAATAGAAGTAGAGCTACAGCTTGACAAAAATATCAAAATCGGGAGGTCAAATAGGGGTGGTGAGTATTATGGTAGGTACACTGAATTCGAACAACATTTAGGTCC